GCCATGTGATCAAAATGGTGGATAAACACCTGCAGTCTGATGATAAAATCACACACAGAGGGGAATTCAGGAGGATTTAATCACTGAGATCGTCACCAGGGTCAAACATCACACATCAAAACACAGAATCGTTGGATGGAAGAAACCATTGAGACGCATCCCTGTTATTCTTCCATCCTTACCAAGATAAATTACCACGCTGCCTCTGCCAACCAAACACGTTTTGTGAGGCCACTGTGACCTTAACTTTGATCTTTGACCTTTGATCAACCAAATCCAATCAGTTCAGATATAAATCCAACTGAACATTTGTGCCAAATTTAAAAATGATTATCTCAGGGCGTTCTTAAGATAACGTGTTCAAAAGGCAAAAAAGGCTTTGACCTCTAAATTCTAATCAGTTCATCTTTCAGTTCGATTGAATGTTTTTGCCTGATGTAATGAAATACCCTTAAATTGCTCCTGGTATATCAGGTCACAAGAACGCAACATCACCTTGACCTTTGACCTTCGACCACCAAAATCCGATCAGTTCATGTTTGAGTTTAAGTAAAAGTTTTTATTCAATTTAAAGAAATTCCCTCAAAGTGTTCTTGAAATGTTGTGTTCACAAGGATAGGAAGCACGGATGGAACGATGACCCTACAACATCGCCGGCATGGAGGCATAACAACACGTTGTATCCATGGTTGCTTACATTTGCTGGTACGACTGACAGCTGAGGTTTCTGTTGTTCAGACAGCGCAGGAACCGCACAGACGCAGACGGCAGGAACCCGCTCAGGCGTCTGGAAAACCACTTCCTGATCTCACTGCTGTTCATCAGCTGCTCGTCAGTCAGCAGCGACACTCTGATCTCACCAATCACATCCAACACCTCCACCGCTGATGGACCCACCATGGTCATGGACTGTGAGCGAGATCAGTTTGTTAAATCACGAGAAACATCCTTCAGACTGATTTCAGGTGTTTGAATTATTCACTTTAATAAACTAGGATGTTCATCATTAGGTTTATAAAGCGACTCACTGCGTTAGCCAGCATGTCCAGAGCCTGGTCCAGGACGTTGGACAGTTTCGTGAGCAGCATCTTCCACAGCATTTTAGAGTGGCTGCTGTTTCCAGACAGGTCGCACTTCAGCAGAGACACCAGCTGATTGGCTGTGAAGTTCTCCAGCTGCACGAGTGACAGAGTCATTTAGTTTATTCAGCCACAAGCAGCAAGTTGCATAAATACCATATATTCTTTATTCCAAATTGTGACTCACATTTGCACATGCATATTTCTCCAGGGTAAAATTACAGGAGACAGACATAGAGGTCGAAGTGTTCAAGTGAAGCTCCAGGTCAGAGCTGAGAAAACATGTCATTTAACAAATACACATCAGTACAGAGACGGTTACAACAGTTCTGGTATAAATATATAATGATATACTATGAATACCTGTTGACTCCTCTGCAGACGTGTGAGGCTGTGCAAAGACAAACATCAATTTAAACTCTAAAAGCAATTAAAATGATGTCATGAGTGACAAAATGATAGAAAAACTGAGTTCTTACCATTGAAGTGAGTAAGTGGGCACTGTGGATAAAAGATGTTACACATTTAAAGGAGAATACTGCAATAATATATCAATACAAAATAATTAAGAGCGACGAAATACAGGTAAAATGTATTAATTGGAAATATAAGTTGAGTTAATGTAATAAGAAATCTCACCGTGATGTTCACTGGTACACATTCTGCTCAAACAGACACAGAAAACGTTCAGTTAACACTACACAATAAAAATATGATTTCTAAAAATAGAAATAAAAGCTTGAACTGTATTTGTGAGTTAATTGTATGACTCAGTGATTTTCGTGGTAAGTATATATATGTATTAGAAAGTGAGACTGACCGTCTGGTGCAACTTTTATCAGTCGGTCTATTCCAGCCCAGACGTCCGGCTCCACGTCTGGAGGTAGAGACGGAACGGCCTCGTACAGTCGCACAAAACTGACGAATAGCAAACACGAACATTTAACTCAAATCCCGAGAGCTCATGTCATCATCACAAATTCAGAACTTTTTGAATTTGTTATTTAAGAAATAAAAAAAGGTCCATTATGAGAAAAATGCCACTTAGTCTTCAACGCTTCACCAACTTTCTGATAACTTTTACTGAAATCTTATCGAAACGTTCTGAGATACTGCTAAAACACACAAATAGTTTATAACAATAAGTATAACTCCACTAATCCATAATAAGTACATTTATACAGCGGTTGCCAAGCTTTTGATTTGTCAAAAACAAATATTTCCACATAATTTATCTTGTAATGTCAATTAAATTAGTTCATAATTAATAATCAAACTCAATGTTGTGACATGTGTATGTTGATATATGACA